CGTGAGCCCTTCCTGGGGTCTTCTCAGGCCATTCTACCCTGGGAGGCACCTGGAGCGCTAGGTAATGTGATCATCACTGATTGACACATGAAGAATTGAAGTCCAGAGAGGTTAGGGAACTTGCCCAAGATCACATTGGATTCCGAGTGCTGGGGAGTGGCCCACACTGGTAGCCACTCTGCCTACAAGGCCTGTGACCGAGTGGTTGGGAGGGGCTGGAGACAGCCCTGTAGAGAGGTGACAGCTGAGCCCTGATGTACGGAAGTGCACCAGGCGTCTTGTGACGAGCAAGGGCAGCGCCTGGCGGAGAAGCAGCTCTCAAAGGAGAGGATGGAGGTCGTGTGCCTGGAGCAGAGTGAGCCGAGGAGAGAGGGCCAGGGGCTCGGGGGACAGGGAGTGGAGAGCGGGGAGGACAAACCTCTGGCCATGCCTTGGGGGTTATGGTAAAGGCTGGGAGTTTATTCCGTAGGAGTGGGCAGTTTCTTGGGAAATTTTAACAGTAGTCACAGGATGTGTTGGAGAGTTTCAGACTCACTCTGGCACCCATGTGGAAGGGATTGTCAACCGTGTGGGAGATGTCTTCCACGGTCCACAGGAAAGGTGCTGGGGACAGGCTTTACAGTGGGCCCTAAACAAGGGAGAGAAGTGGTCAGAGGCCTTAGAGTGATCAGACCTACTGGTGGTCTGAGTGCAATGAGGGAAAGAGGAGTCAGAGGTCATGTCCAGGGTTTAGCTCCTAAGATGAGTCGGGTCATTGACACAAAAGGGGGATGATCTGGGGGTGGGGGGTGGGAGACAGGGCATCCATCTTCTCTTGGACATGCTCGTTTGATCTGAGATGTATGAAAGGCATCCAGGTGGCGGTATCTGGTAGGCAGTTGGATATGTGAGTCTAGACAGAGGTCAGGAGCCGTCTGGGCTAGAGACAGAAATGTGGGAGTTGTTGGCATGTAGAAGTTTGGGCGCGTGGGAGAGGGGAGACGCACAGGGTGCTGCAAAGGTGAATGTTTGGCTGCAGCGTCCATTGTGTTGTTGAGCGTAGTCCTCCAGTGGGGGTGGCAGCCCCGAAGTGACTGGTCAGGACTGGCTCTGGTCAGGGGGCCTTCAACTCTGCACAGGACTGGGAGGCTCTGTACATGTGTGCTCACGTGTCCGTGGGACTGGACCCAGTCCTTCCTGCCTTGCTGGCCTGGGGTCTCCAAGTGCTGAAACGTGATGGCCTAGATGTGGGTGCCGGGCCACTCACTAATTGGAAGGTTGGGGTGACCTGAATCCTGAGAAAAATTTAGGACCTACACACAATAAAATCCATTCTTTCAAATTAGGTCAGAGTCCATGGGATCAAGTATGGTTTTAAAACTTTTCATTATATTTCTTATAATGATTTAACTTGTATATTTAAAGACTATTTTGTAAACTTTTTTTTTTAACTCAATAGGAACTCATTTTAACTCAGTAGGAGCTCTTTCTTTTCTGTCATAAATGAAGCTTTTTTTTTTCCTTCTTGCATTTGGGCAAGTTCCATATGTTAACTTGTAGATGGGCTGATTGTGAACTTACACTTTAAAAGTATTCAGAAACATACTGTCTCTCACAAAAATTATTTCATTTTCTCTGTTACCACAACATTCCACATGCTGTTCCTGTTGCTAAGGCCTCTGGAATGTTTCAGTGCAGAGAAAGGATATAGAACTCCTTTTTTCCCCCTGAAGAAGACATTTAAATTATTTTGTATCCCCTAGTTTACATCTAAATATGGATATCTGGAAGAATTTAGAAAGCTAAAATTCAAGTAGCTTTAGGTTCTTCTCACAGGAACTCGGTTTCATAGGGTAGCATGAACCATCATTCTTTCCACAGGGATTGTGTGAGTGCACATGCGTACACATGCTGGCTTTTTAGGGAGATGTGACGTGCTACTCAGAGATTAAGAAGTGATTTCAGAGATGGTGCAAACCTAAGTTTGAGTCCTGGTTGTACTTTCTTGCTGGGTGATACGAGACGAGTTCTTGACTCCATCAGTAAAATTAGGCTCCTGTTGTAGGATACACCTTATAAAAAGTGCTTAGTTCAGAACTTGGCACTTAGTAGTCTCTCAGTAAATTCCATATGATTATCATCATTATTGTCATCATCAGTTGCAAAAAATTGTAAGTTATTGAAGAAATCGAACTTTTTGCAGAAGTACAGGTTCCTGGTGCTCACAGAGGGACCCCTTACTCACTTCTTTTTATTAGCATTTCCGAGTCTCACAAAGGATGAAAGGAACCAGAACAGAAAAAGAACAGCTTTCTACATAAGCCTCATTGTGGCCAGTCACATCCTTATTATTTGAAAGGATTGATACAGTTTTTTTTTTTTTTTTTTTACAATTGCCTTATTTATAAAGGGGTGGGGGCTAATTCCCAGCAGTATCTGCTCTCTGGCAAAGTGACATTATCATAAACACATAGCTTGCCATAGAGTGCTGTGAGGCACCACACAAAGCAGGCACATCGCAGAGGCCCAAGTCTAAACTGAATTCAGTCTCAACTGAAATTACCTAATTTATTTTTTTATCTGGAGGACAGTTGCTTTACATTGCTGTGTTGGTTTCTGCCATGCAACGGTGCAAATGAGCCATAACTATATATATATATATATATCCCCTCCCTTCCACCCCCCACCACCCATCCCCCACCATCCCACCCCTGTAAGTCATCGCAGAGCGACAGGGTGGGCGAGATCACTTAATTTAGTGCTTTGCTGCTAAGTCGCTTCAGTCGTGTCCAACTCTGTGTGACCCCATAGATGGCAGCCCACCAGGCTCCCCCGTCCCTGGGATTCTCCAGGCAAGAACACTGGAGTGGGTTGCCATTTCCTTCTCCAATGCATGAAAGTGAAAAGTGAAAGTGAAGTCGCTCAGTCGTGTCCGACTCTTAGCGACCCCATGGACTGCAGCCTACCAGGCTCCTCCGTCCAGGGGGTTTTCCAGGCAAGAGTACTGGAGTAGGTTGCCATTGCCTTCTCCAAATTTAAGCTACTGTTTAATTAATAAAACTAATTAAATTGATTTCATTAGTGACCTATTGATTTGATATTTGTAGACATTTCATATTTTTGAGCTGTAAGTTATGAATGTTATGCCACTTCTGTAATTCAACTTTTCCATCTTAATTGTCCTGTATCAGAGTCATTTAACCTAGGGATATATGAAACCTAAGGTAAACTACTAGTCTTTTTTTTTTTTTTTAATGAAATGTCATGTCAAATGTAGCCATGGAAAGTAGCTTATTACATGTGGATCACTGCATGGATTTAACCTTTCCCCTCTCCCACCTGTACTATTTTTAACTCAGTGTGGGCTTGCTTTCAAGGAAAATAGCACATTGTTTGGCTCTTACTTTTCATGAAATTGTTAAGCTTAGTCACAGAAATCAGCAATCTGTTAGAACCTTCTTATATTCTTTTATCAGTTTATGTGGTCAAAGGTGTTCAGCCCTGACAGTCAACTTATTGGACTTGGCATCTGTAAAGAATTTCTAGAAATTGTATTCCTCTGGTCTTAAAGGGACCAAATTCAAGCCACTCTTATGAGTCAGAATGAAATCTCAGGTATTGACTTAGACACAGTAGCTCACCTTTCTATGAATCAGTTTCCTCCTCTCCACAGCAGGGTTATGATGCTATCTGCCTTAGTAATTGCAAAGGTAAAATGAGATCATGTAGAACGTGTTTGGTGCCACTCCTGCATCCCAGAATCATGTCACTCCCTGGTATGTTTCAGATTCAAAGGCTATCTGTGTAGTTCAGTGTAAATAGAAACTGTCTAAGAAAATGTGAGCTATACCCACATGAAGATATTAGATCCGGAATTTGATATTTTAGAGATTATCGTCACTTTACATTACCTCAGGGCATTTTCTGTTTCCTTGGGCATTTTCTGTTTCCTCTAAAACAACCCAGGGTAGAAAAGGGTGAAATTAAATCTTACGGGAAGGAAAGCAGATGCTAATCAGCTTTTTAGATCTTTTTCCTCCCTTTAAACTTGGTATTTGGTCTACTAAAATATTTGCCCAATTGAAATGTGCTAATTATCTAGTCATTGCAGATATTCTAAGTAGAGCATCTAGTGTAAAATACCAATTTTGAAATATTTAAAAGAGTTAAGATTCTAGATTTGAAGTGTTTGCTCTGTTCCCTTGGCTGTTATAATTATTATTAATTGTCCACAGTTAGGATTTTTTGGTTAATCATGTATTATCAGATATCAAGTTACTGTACTTTCAATTTATATATATATGCAGGTAGACTAGTTTTATGTTTAATTAAGTTCTCACTATAAAAAAATCCAACCTATATTTTGCCCTGTTCCAGTAATTGAACCGAGATTAATGTATGCAGTGTTACGCTTGTACTGCAGTTCTTTCTCTTCAGTGGCATCGATATGTAAACAAAAGGACTGGAGGTTAGTTGTGACCTGTTAAAAAAAAAAGTATGAAAATAGTTTTCTTTGTATTACATGTTGACAAAACCAGCAATTTTACTCTTAAGGGAAACCTCTGCTTTCTTTCTTAACTGCTCCATAGAACTCAGAGACTTGATGGCTGGAATAGAAGGCATGGTTAAATAAAACCATTAGATGGTACTGCCTTGTGAATTCCTAGACATTTTCTGTGGTTACAGATTCTTCCTCATAACCCTTATTAGACTTCTCCTGAAGTTGCTTTATTGTGTGAGGGCATTCATGGATCGTATTTTAATACATTGGTCTGTTTTACCTCATACTAATGATTTCTCATGCATTTTATTTTAACCCTTTCTAATGGTGTTTCTGTAAGCCTGATTTGGTTTCTCTCTTCATAGTCATGGTGCATCACATCAGTTACTTTTAAACTGGAATAACTTTTATCCTGTGCACTTTATCATAAGGCAGCTCTTTTAGGAAATATCACCACCCCAGATGGTTTCCTATTAACAAGAACCACGTGAGTGAGTGATGCTCTCTGTCTTTATTGCAGACATGCCAATATTTGGTCTCTGTCCAGCCCACGATGATTTCTACTTGGTGGTGTGTAACGACTGTAATCAGGTTGTCAAACCACAGGCATTTCAATCACATTATGGTAAGTGCTTAACCATTTAAAAATCATTATTAGAGGGTGAAAAGGTAGAGCGGGATTAAGCTGTGACAGCCTGGGTGGGGTCTACTACTCCTCCCCTCTGTCAGGAAGTAGGTTTTCTAATTGAATAGGTTAATGCCTATCAGATGTTAGGGGTTTTCTGAATTTTCTTGAAAGGAATGTGCATTTTTCTCATTTTTATTAAACTTAGAGGGAAAATGTATTTCATAAAATCTTTGTTGAAATACTGCATCAGTGGAGTAAAATATTTGTTTTCTTCTAAATCCCATGGTTGTGAATTTAGCAGGTGGTAAAATTATATATAGACACAGAATATAGAGACATGGCTCTTTTGAAAAGAAATGTGATTTTGAAATGTCCAAGTTCAGTAGTTCTAAATCTCTCTGATGTTCTGATTTGTGAATAAGATGGAACTATGCTGTCTTCCCCAATCAAAATGTGCATGTACTTAAAATGAGGCATTGTGACTTCAGGGGTTTCACGAACCTCTGAGCCTTCCCTGGGCTTTGAGACTCCAGGCCTGTTAACTGGGTGTCAGTCGTGGGAGAATCCAAATAAGGTTGTCTTGCATTGTCATAGTGGTAAAAAAAAAAAAAAAAGAGTTCTGATCATAAAGTTTAATTTTATACCCAGTAGCAACTCAGAAGTGTTTGAGTGCTTACTTTGTTTCAGGCATGGGGATGTGGTTATCATTTTCCCGTCCATGGGGTTCAAAATCTCGCTGGAGAGAAAGGCAAAACTAACTGGATATATTTTTTTTTAATAACTGCAAGTTGTTTCATTGTTGTCCTCACGACTACAAACAGACTTGAGACAGAGAATAGCAACAGGGTCTTTCTGTAATAGAGCATTCAAGCAAGGCCTCTTTAAGGCGGTGACCCTGGTGACCCGAGCCCTAAGTGATGAGAGGGGGTCACCCATGCGGGGATCTGGAATAAAAGTGTGTGACAGAGGGGAGTGGCGGTGCGCAGACCTGCAGATGGCTTGTGAAGTTAGTAAGGGAAGTAGAGACATGGGAGTCAGCCTCTGGGCGGGGCCCTTGTTCATGTACAGGCTTGTAGGCCCAGGAGGAAGCTGCCTGGGGGTAGTGAAGGTTTCTGTAAGGGAGGAACCCAGGACCATCTCTCTCGCTCGGGCAGACTGTGGGAGGAGGGTGGAAGCAGGAGAGCAGTTCAGAGGTGAAGATGATCACAGAGTAGGGCTGGAGGCACAGTCCAGCTTGGAACCTGCAGGGCTTTCTGTCGGGCTGGGCTGCCGTTGTTCAAAGTCACAGCTTCACGATCACATCCCACCTTTTTCCCTCAAGGAATCTTTTCTATAATCATAAAAAGGTCCTTTGAGTTTCTGCTTCTGGGTGAGGCCCCAGAGTAGGCACCAGAGTGAGCACCAAACTGAATAAGATATGGTCTCCCTGCTTAAGACTCCAAGTGGCTGGTATTGGAAAAGACAGTTAGCCAGTTGCCGAGTGCTTTGGGAGTTATAAAAAACAGCTTCCCTGGTGGCTCAGACGGTAAAGTGTTTGCCAACAATGCGGGAGACCTGGGTTCAACCCTTGAGTCGGGAAGATCTCTTGGAGAAGGAAATGGCAACCCACTCCAGCATTCTTGTCTGGAAAATCCCATGGACGGAGGAGCCTGTAGGCTGCAGTCCATGGGGTCACAAAGAGTCAGACACGACTGAGCGACTTCCTTTCATTTTCATTTCATTTGGGAGTAATGGGTTTTGAAGTCAGACCAGACTGGATTTACATCTAAACTTGCAAGAACCATAGGTTAGTTGTTCTCCTTGAGCAAGTTTTCCGACCTCAGCTTCTTTTTTATAATGTGGGGACAGTGATAGCAACCTCATTGGTTCCCAGAGAGGGTGAGGTGCAGCGGTATGGTGTAGCCCCTGGCACTTGACAAGTCTGCGAGAGAGAAGAGGTGCCGCTGTGGGGGCAGAAAGGTGTGTGTCGAAACTCACACAGCAGTCCAAAACCTTAAGAATTAGGAGGAGCGCAGATTGCTTCTTGCACTGTAACTCGGGGCAGACTTCTTAAAGGAAATCGCCTTCTTCACATCAGGCTATTCCGAAGAGTAGGATGGGTTGTTTTTCCCATGTGCAGATTGCCCCCATCAGTTGTTAGGTGTGGAATACATGTCCATTGTGGAAAATGCAGAAAATACTTAAAAAAAAAAATCACATACAGTCCTCTCAAATGGGAAGTGTTGTGATGGGGATGGACAGGGCCGTCCCGTAGCACAGATTGTGCACTGCACAGCCATATTTGGTGGTGCCAGGTTGGCCACAGGGCTGATGGGAGCAAGCGCGGAGGCAGGAAATTCCAGGCTGTCTGGAATGTACTCCACAGAGTCTCCATTGGCTGGAGCTGATGTACCCCGTGGGGAAGAGCTGTGTGCCAGGGCAAGGCTGGGGCTGTTCAGAGAGATTCAGTGCCATCAGACACCCTGGGCTTGATATGTCAGTGGGAACCTGCTGCAGGATTTTTAACACCTGAGTGATTTGGCTTAGTGATGCAGTGTGAAAACGGCTACTGTTTGCATCAAGCCCACTTAAAGGTGTTCCTTCTTCCAGGCCTTACCTAGTCAGGAGGAGGCCCTCTTGGTCCCCTCTTCCAGAAGCTCTTCACTTAGTTACAGCACGTTTCTTGGAGATGATTTTCTTTATCTTCCTCTGTCTCTCATAGAATGAATGTCTGTATATTGAGGGCGAGGTAGGGGAGGGGAGAATGTCTTGAAATCATATTTCTTCTCTTTTTCTCTATCAGTCTGTTGCATACATAACATCTTCTAATAAGATACATGTTCAATGACAAAGGAATTGTGCTGACTTCCAAAGTAGAAGAAGGTGTGGTGTGAATGCAAGACTCAGTACATATTCCAGCGCCTTCTGAAAGGCAGGAAGTGCAGCTGTCACAGGCCACTGGGTGGGGGCTTTGGTCCCTCTAGTGGCAAGGGAGCTATTCAAACTGTAAGAGACGAGAGGGTCTCTGGTGGAAAGAAGAGGGCCAGGTGCTGACAGAGGGATTCATTGGGAAATGTAGGAGTTTCCTCTTTGGGGGCAGCAGCCGAGGGAAGGCTAATGGAATAAACAGGAGGTTTGGAGACGGCTAGGTGTATGGGCTTGGGGGCGACTTCCCAAAGTGGAGGAAGGCACCATGTGATGTCCCTGGCCTAGTTCGGGAGTGATAGCTCGCTCATCTGGAAAAAAAGAGGTGGTCAGGGGGCCGGGACCAGGAACCATTCCCAGCATTGCCAGTGTGTCTTCTGTCTTTGGGGTGAGGGATTTTAGCCGGAAGAAGTATTTGCATCCCATTCTCCTTTGTTGTAATTCCAGAAGGCCTATTGCTACATGTTTGTTTTCCAGAGTTAAAAGCAAAGCCTGTTTTTGAAACTCAAGAAATTTCTAAGTAGCCACTGCAAGCTGTTTCTTACTGTATTAGGAAGAACTTGCACCTGCCAAAGGAGAAATTCTACTGTATTCCCTTCTGATGAACTTGGTGAAAATGTGTGGGCAGTCTTCTGTGAATTCATGTCTTAATGATACTCATCTGTGACTTTTATGAACAAGTGAGCAGTTGCTATAAAATTTAGCAGACAGTTCCTTTAAAACCACTGCTGCCTGGCCGTGACGGGGAGGAAGCTACAGTAGCAGCAAGGCTTATCGCTCAGTTCTTGTTGATAATGTTATGCTGAATTTGTGAACAGGTTGTTACCCAAAATAGTGAGAGACCTGCAGACATACCTCATTTCTTGCATTTTGATTTATTGTTCTTCACAGAGAGTGTGTCTTTTACAGACTGAAAGTTGGGGGCAACTCATGTCAAGCAAACTCCTTGAATCCATTTTTCTAACAGCATCTACTGGCTTCATGTCTCTGTCATATGTTGTGAATTCTTGAAACATTTCAATCTTTTTCATTGTTCCTGTGTTATTGTGATTTTTGACCAGTGATTTTTGTTGCTACTTCAATGTGTTGAAGTCTCAGATGATGGTTAGCGTTTTTTAGAAACAAAGTGAAAGTCACTCAGTTGTGTTCGACTCTTTGCAACCCTATAGACTATACAGTCCGTGGAATTCTCCAGGCCAGATACTGGAGTGGGTAGCTTTTCCCTCCCCCAGGGGATCTTCCCAGCCCAGAGATCAAACCCAGGTCTCCCGCACTGCACACAGATTGCTTACCTGCTGAACCACCAGGGAAGCAAGAATACTGGAGTGGGCAGCCCTCCCTTCTCCAGGCGATCTTCCTGACCCAGGAAGCAAACCAGGGTCTCCTGCCTCGCAGGCGGATTCTTTACCAACTGAGCTGTGAGGGAAGCTCTTTGGAAACAAAGTTGTATTGTTTTAAATTAAGGTGTGTGTGTTCTTCCTGTGGCTCAGCTGGTAAAGACTCTGTCTGCAGTGCAGGAGACCTGGGTTCGACTCCTGGGTTGGGAAGATCCCCTGGAGGATGGATGCCTACCCACTGCAGGATTCTCGGGCTCCCCTGGTGGCTCAGATGGTAAAGAATCCACCTGTCTTCCCAACTCAGGAAACAAACCAGGGTCTCCTGCATTGCAGGCGGATTCTTCACCAGCTGAGCTATGAGGGAAGCTCTTTAGAAACAGTTTTATTTTTTTAAACTAAGGTATGTATGTTCTTCCCTGGTAACTCAGCTGGTAAAGAATCTGTCTTCAATGCAGGAAACCTGGGTTCGATCCCTGGGTTGGGAAGATCCCTGGGAGGGGAGGGTACAGCAACTGGCTCCAGTACTCTTGCCTGGAGCATCCCCATGGACAGAGGAGCCAGTGGGCTACAGTCCACGGGTCACAGAGAGTCAGACACGACTGAGCAGCTGAGCACATGCACGTTCTTTTAGGGGCTTCCCTGGCAGCTCAGATGGTAAAGATCTCTCTGCAACGCAGGAGACCCGGGTTCAATCCCTGGGTCAGGAAGATCCCCGGAGAAGGAAATGGCAACTCACTCCAGTTCTTCCAAGTCATA